CGGCGCCCAGGGCGTCGGCGCGCCCGGCCGCGGCGCCTCGGGCGCCTCGCCCGCGCCCGCCGCGTCGAGGTAGAGCCGCAGCAGGTCCGACGCCGACGCCTCCGCGGCGCGCGCCGGCGCGGCGACGGCCCGGGGCGCCGCCGGCCGCGCGCGCGCCGCGCTCCGCTCGGGCGCCTTCGACCGCCGCGGCGGGTGCGACGACGAGCGGTTCGACGCCAGGAGCGCGTGGGTCGTGGCGCGCGGCGCCACGGCGCCGGCGGGTGGTCGCGGCGGCACCATGTTGAACGTGTTGCCACAACGAACAGTAGGCCTGATAGTGAAGTCCAAGTTGAAGCGGCGTTTAACATATCCCGCCGGCGGGACATGTTAGCGGCCGCGGCGGAAGCGAGCCTCGCGGCGGCCACCCGGTACGAAAACGCCACCGGCCGGCCACCCGGATACGAAAATTATGCTCGCGCGACGGCCCTGATCGCCCGGAGCCCGCCGAGGACGAGGTCCGCGTAGGCGGTGAGGGGCCCGCCGCACCAGTGGACGCAGTCCGGCCAGTCGCCGAAGGCCGACGGCTTCTGCATGGTGTCGCGCGTGAGGCCGAAGTGGCCCGTGTGCGCACGCTCGCGCTTGGCGAGCGCGTCGAACCCGCCGACGTAGGCGAGCGGCACCGGCGACGAGGAGAACGTGGTGGCCATGATCTCCGCGAAGATGGCGTTGACGCCAGCGATCGCGTGCCAGTGGTAGCCGTACTGGGAGTAGGCGAACTTCTCGCGGTCGGCGTCGGAGCGCCAGCGCCACGTCGACGCGTTCTCGCAGTGCTCGCCCGCCGGCGGCGCGTCGAGGACGACGACGCCCCGCGCGCCGGCGCGCCCGGCGACGTCGCGGAGCTGCGCCGCGTAGGCCGTGACGGTGTCGTGGAGCTTGCTCGGCGGCGCCGCGTCGACGACGGCGCCGCGCGCTGCGAGGCCGTCGAGTGCCGCCGCGAGCGCGGCGCGGTCGCAGCCGTCGCCGTTGCAGGCGCGGAGCGCCGCGAGCCCCGCGGCGTAGGCCGCCGTGAGCGGCGCTTCGTGCACCGTGTGCGCGGCGCCGGACGTCACGAGGAGGACGACGCCCGCGCCGCGCCGCGGGAGGAGCGCCTTCGCGAGGCAGGGCCCGCCCCAGGACGCGCCATGGGCGACGTAGTTGACGAGCGAGCACGAGGTCGCGCGCTTCATCTCGTTGTGGACGAGCTTGCCCCGGCAGGTCTTGAGGTACTTGTCCCCGAGCGCGTTCGCGATCTGCTCGACGATGCTGTCGCCGAGGAAGTGGAACCGCTCGCTCCGCAGCAGCCCGCAGGCGTCCTCCGCGAAGCGCGTCGCGTTCCCGCCGACCGTCGGCGTCCAGGTGCCCTGCTCGCAGTGGCAGATGTGGTGGATCTTGCCGCTTTTCAAATGGTGCGGCTCGTAGACGCACGCCTCGAGCGGCGACGGGCTCCAGGCGCCGCCGCGGGAAAAGCTCACGTTTACGACGGCGGCGCGCGCCAGCGCGGCGACGGCGAGCAGCGCGCGCATCACTCGAGCCTAGAGCGCTGTGCCAGCGACGATACGCTCCAAAGCCTCCATCGTAGCTGCCCGGCTTCAAGCAATGGGATCTTGAAGGTGCGGAGCACTTTGCGGAGCAGGATTAGAGCTGTCCCACGCGCGCAGTGGGAGCTCGAGGTCCCACACTGCGAGGAGGAAACTTTAGTGGGCGCAAAAGCATTAGACGGGTTTCAAGGGCGTTCGGTTCAAAATATGGACTTAAATATGGGGCTGCCCGTAGCCAGATGGTGAACCATAGCACCAGCCTCAGCATTATGAGCGTGACATCGGACGTCGCCGACGGCGTCGGCGCCGCCACGGTCGACACAAAGGGCAATAAAAACGCTGCATCCGGCCCGATCCTCGACGACGCATCCCCTTCGACGAACGTCGTCACGTCGTCGCGTTTACGAGCCCGGCGCAGGCCTCGAGGCCGACGAGCTTGAACTTGAGCTTGCGCGATGCGTCGCGGGGCAGCACGCGGAGCTCGACGTCGCGCGCGGCGCCCGCGCCGCAGCGCGCCGCCGGCGCGGGGACGTCGACGGTCTCGTAGGTCGACTCGCCGCGGTCCCAGGCCGCGTCGACGAGGGTCACGGCGCCGTCGTCGACGTCGACGGCCGGTGCGGCGCCCGGCGCGCGCGGCGGCGAGACGCGGACCTGCGCGCTGCCCACGGACGCGTAGGACCGGAGGATCGTCAGCCGGATCGGGCCGTCGCCGCAGGGCAGGCGGAAGACCAACCTACGGAGCGCGTCGGTGTCATCGTTTTCCTGGCCGAAAGCTCTCGAAATTCGTCGCCGCGACGACGGTCCGTCGTCTTCCCGGTCGAAGGCTCTCGAAACTCGTCACGGGACGCCGAGACCGGCCCGAGCTCGCGCCGCTTGGACCGCTCCCGGGCCTGGCCGATCCAGCCGGGCTTCGCCGGCCGGTCCTCGTAGTAGCGCCAGTCGCGGCCCCGGCGTGCCGCGGGGAACTCGGCGTCGCTCCCCTCCGCGACGAAGGACGCGAGGACCTCGCCGCACGGATCGGCCGGCGCCGCCTCCTCCGGCGCCTCCGGCTCCGGCTCGGGCTCGGCCGGCCCGTCGGCGCCGTCGTCGTCGCGCGCGCAGTGGGCCATCGCCGCGTGCTGGAGCCAGTGGTACCAGAGCACGTCCGCGATGAGCTGGTGGTCCTCGTAGGTCGGGTGCGGGTCCTGGCGGAAGGGCCCGCCGTAGCGACCGCACGTCTCGTGATACGCGCGCGTGTTGTACCAGTAGGCGACGTGCGGCGGCGACGCGACGTCGGGCCAGAACGCGTCGCGGTAGCTCACGAGCGACGCGCCGTAGCGCCGCGCGACGGGCGCGACGATGTCCTGGTACGCGTAGTGGAGCCGGTTCGCGCGGCGCAGCTCGTCCTCCGTCGCGCAGGCGACGAAGGTGAACGTCGGCGACCCGTCCCGCGCCGCGTGGCCCCGCGCGCCGCTCGCGAGCCAGTGGGTCCAGGACGCGGGCGACAGGGGCACGTAGAAGGTGCACAAGACGGCGACGTGCGCGCCGGCCTTGGTGAAGACGCGGAGCAGCTTCTCCGTCGACGCGCGCACGGCCTTGGCCTCCGGGAGGCCCGCGACGTCGTCGACGTCGTAGGTCTTGGCCGTGGCCACGATGGCGTCGTTGATCGCGTAGTCGAGGATCAGCAGGTCCGTCGTCGCGGCCGCGTCGATGATGTGCCCATTCTTCGACGCCGTCCCCGAGCCCGTGCCCGACATGGCCCGGACCGCAACCTTGACGGCGCCCGGTCCGTAGGCCGCGTCGAGGTGCGTCGCGAGCCGCTGCGGGAAGGCGCAGGCCGCGGAGGGCATGCTGCCCGGCGCGACGTCGCAATGCGTGCCAAGAGTCACGGACCCTCCGAGGACGAGCACGCGCACGGGTTCGACGTCTCTGTCGCCGCGCGCGAGCGCGCGCTTGTTCGCGGCGGCGCGCGCCACGATGGCCGCCCAGCGCGCCGCGTTGCCGCCGTCGCCGACGCAGCCGCGCCGGAGCTGCTCCCGCGACGCCCAGTCGTACGCGCGGTTCGCGCCGACCTCGGCCGCGTCGACGGCGGGGAACGCGGCCGGCAGCGCGTCCTGGCGCGTCGCCGCGATGGGCTGCGGCGTCGCTACGCCATCGAGCGCGGCGCAGGCGTGCGGATCGTAGGTGCAGGCGCCTCGTTGTATGGGGCGGTAGGGCACGTAGGTCGTGTTCGTCGCGTGGTGCGTTCTTCGCGGGCACGGTGGTGATGTCGGTTTTTTGTTTCGTGGCGGCTTTGCAACCGTGAGGCCGATGATGAGGAGAGCTAGCTTCATGGGACGCTGCCCATTGCCGGTTGACAGGGGTTCACACAAAATTTCTCGGTTCAACGTTGAAGCCGCGACGCGACGCGCGAGCTTGCTCTCTAAAGCAACGCCTAAAGCACGGTGGGCTTCAACGGAGAGCCACCCATGGTCCTCAGGAAAAGCTAAATCATGAAGGTGCCGTGCCCACTTAGTGCCGTCTGGCCGCAGTGGGAGCTCGCACACTGCGAGGAGGAAACTTTAGTGGACACAAAAGCAGTAGTGTGGATTTCAAGATAAAATGTTGACATGTTCAAGGGCGTTCAAAAGTATTTGGCTGCCCGCCGCAATGCTTCGTGCTGTCATCGCTGCCTTCCTCGCCGCGACCACCAGTGGCGACGTCGCCGAGCTGTGCGCGGCCCAGGCGTCCCGGGCGGCCCCCGAGAAGCTGGCCCAGGAGCAGCAGTTCAACTCGCCGAGTCGCTGCCGGGGCTGGCCGCTTTTACGGCGGCTGGCGTCGGACGTCGTCGGCGCTGCCACCGTGGAAGCCGACGGCGCCGTCGCCTTCGAGCTCGCGCCCTGCGGCAACAACGCGACGTTCCGGCGGTCGCTGAGCGTCTTCCTCAGTTTCTACTCTGCCGACGTTCGCGACGCGACGCTCGCGACCGCGGAGCCCGGCTCGCGGGCGCTCCGCGTGCGCTGGAGGCCGCCGCTCGCCGGCGCCTACGACGTCGTCGCCCGGCTCCACTTCTACGGCGACGACTGCGACGGGTCGCCGCCCGTCTACCTCGGGGGCAGCGAGCCGCGCTGCGCGCCGCGCGAGAAGTGCAAGACGCCGCGGCTCCAGAAAAATTGCGACGAGCTCGCGCGCGTGCCCGCGGCCCCGCGGCGCATCGCCGCGCCGGCGGCGCCGGCCGCGGACGCGGCGGCGGACGCGCCGCAGTGCCGCGACGGCGCGACGCGCGACGGCCACTGGCGCCGCTTCGCCCGGGGCGACGTCGGCCCGGGCTACACGGGGTCGCCCTGGGACGCGCTCGTCGCGCGGTCCGTGCACAAAGCGGACAAGAAGATGGCGCCCTGGCGCTTCGCGCGGCCCGGCTGCGCCTACCACTACTTCGCGCCCGGCGACGCGCGGCGCGCGCTCGACGGCTCGCTGCTCCTCTTCGTCGGCGACAGCCTCCTGCGGGGCCTCTACGCGACGACCGTGCGCCTCCTCGGCGGCGCGGCGAGCGACGACAAGCTCAAGGCGCGCGAGGACGCGGCGCGCGGCAAGGGGGGCAAGCGCGCGTCGAACGACCCCGCGTCGCGGACGTCCTTCGACCTCGGCGGCGCGCGCCTCGCCTACGCGTCCATGTGGTCCGACGCGGAGCTCGGCGCCGTCAAGGCCGCCGTCGGCCGCGCCGCGGCCCGCGGCCAGCCCTTCGCGCGCGTCGTCGTCGTCGCCAACTGGGGCGCGGAGCACAGCGTCGCCGCGGCCTGCGACAGGGTCGAGGCCAAGTTCGCGCGCCAGGCGAACCGCGCGCGCGACGCCGTCGCGGCCGCGCTCCCCGGGGACGCGCCCCGGTCGCTGGTCGTCGCGACGCCGACGGCGATGCTCGCGCGGCGGAACCCGGGCATGACGACGGCGAAGGCCCGCGCGCTCGGGCGCGTGCTCGCGGCGCAGGCCGAGGCGACGCGCCGCGGCGGAGCCTTCGCGGCCGCGGACCTCCTCGACCTCTCGAACCTCACGAAGGCGCGCTTCGACGACGCGACGCTCGACGGCGTCCACTACGGCCAGACCGCCGCGACCATGGGCGCGACCGTGCTCCTGAACATGCTCGCCGCGCGGCCCTAGGGGGGACTTTGTGGCATACTCCGCGCGGGCGCTCGCCTCGCTCGCGTCAGTGTGGATGGATTCCAGCTCGCTGAGTATCACCACTTTGTGCCGCGGCGTAACTTACGCCGCGTAAGCCGGCGTTCACCTTAACGTACGCAATGTTATTGAAGGGGATACTACATGGATACTACAATAGTATGATGCACCCAACCGTGCCTCTATTTAATGTGGCGCGCGCATGCATCCCATGGGATGGAATGCAGTGAGCACTCCTGAATGATATGGCGCATCCTAGCTAATAAGCTGCGTGCCGCACCTATCGCGTGCGCCGCATGGGCGGCCGGCCGTCGAAGGTAGCGCCCGCGCTGCGATCCGAATTCCACGCGGCGTACGAATGCGAAGAAAGCTGGGAATATGACATCGGAGGCGGCAATTTTGCCCGGGTCTACAAGGGTGCGATGCGGCTCCCCGGCGGCGGCCTCGGCGCGAGCGTCGCGGTCAAGGTCACCCGGCCGGACCTGGAGCGCCAGCCGAAGCTCGCCGACGCGCTCCGCGCGCGGCCGGCGCGTCCCCCCCGCGCTCCGCGTGCCGAGGCGGGCGTCGCGCGCAGGCAACGAGGCCGAGATGCTCCGCGCCGTCGACCACCCGAAGATCGTGCGGTTGTACGGCTTCTACGAGGAGGCCGGCGCGTTCTACCTGGTCTCCGAGCTCCTGCGCGGAAAGGACGTGTTCGAGCGCACCATTGAGCTGACCTCCTTTCCCGAGCGGCTCGGAAGGAGGCTCGTCGCGAACATCCTCGAGCCGCTCGCGTACCTGCACCGGAGCGGCATCGCGCACCTCGACCTCAAGCCCGAGAACATCCTGCTCGTGTCCCACCGCAGCGACGTCGCAGTGAAGCTCGTGGATTTTGGCAACGCCAGGCGGGTTTCGGGCCGGTCGCTCGTCGAGCCGTGCGGCACGCCGGCATACTGCGCTCCGGAGATAGTCTTCCGGCGGGGCTACGGCGTCGAGGCGGATATGTGGGCGCTCGGGGTGTGCGTCTTCATGATCCTGGGGGGGTATCCGCCCTTCTGCGACGGCAACTCGCACAACAAGGAGCTGAACGCGAAGGTCCTCAGGCGCAACATCAAGAATGCCAACTGCGACTGGGCGCGCGGGACCGCGCGGGACCGTTACACTTGCCCCGTCACACACTCTCCCCGACGAGCGCCCCCCTCCCAGGTACTGGGGCGGCTGGGACGGCATCTCGGACGACGCCCGGGGCCTCATCCGCGCGCTGCTCGATCCCGACCCCGACGCGCGCCTCGCGGCGGACCAGGCGCTGCGCCACGCCTGGTTCGCGCCCGCCGCGCTGCGTGGGGACGACCTGGGCTCGATCGACGAGGAGGGCGAGGGCATCGCCGAGCCGGGCGGCCTGGACGGCTACGAGCACCTCGCCGAGGAGGAGGAGGAAGAAGGCCGGCTCGAGGTGCGCCCCACGAAAAAGCTGAGACCGTTCCGCGAGCGGCTCGGGCGGAGGGTGAGAGAATGCGGCGAAGAATTTGTGGAAGGTTACTTGCTGGTGATCGTGTTTGTCGTCGCCGCGTTCATCTGTGGCCCGTTCTTCTATCTCTTCAACCTCTACCAAAACGCGCGCCGGAGCGCTCGGAAATCGGCCAGGAGGCGCGCGCGCGCCGGGGAGCGGCGCACCGAGGACGCCGCCGACGCCTCGCGGAGGACGTCGGCCCGCGACGCGATCGACCCACGGACCGCGCCGGCGGGCGCGACGGTCGACCCGGAGCCCGGGGAACTTCGCGACGCGGCGGCGCGCCCTCGCGAGCCGTTCGACCTGGCCGACGAGGCGGAGCTCCCCGAGGACGAGGCCGAGCCGACGGGGCCGTCCGGGTGGGTCCTACGGCAGGTGAAGAACCGTGACGACTTTTGGGTGCGCCGCTGGCTCGTGCTGGACCACCACGTGCTCTGCTCGCTCAAGGGAGACCCCGCGGAGTCGGCCGCGCGCGTCGTGAACGCGCGAGCGGCGGCGCGGTCGTTCGCCCCTCGTCTCGCCGCACGTCCCCCCATCATAGGATCGACCTGCGCGCGACGCGCGAGATCGCGCTCGTCGACGGCGGTCACCTGTGTGGTTTCCAACCACTCGTTTGGGGGGGGCACCAAACAAAAAAAAAATCGAAATTCCCGATCTCGATCAAATCGAAGTCGATTCGGCTGATTTTTGTACGAATGAATTGCTCTCGTCGAGTTCTCGAAGCACAACAGAAGAGCTCGTACCAAAACTGTCGAAACAACGCACATTGAAGTCGGTTTGAATATTTGGATTCCACACAGGCGGCCACGAGGGCTTCTTCCGCGTCGTGCCTGCGACGGCCGACGGCGCGCGCGGACCCGCGTCCCCCGGACGCCCGCTCGGGAAATTGCCCGCGACGCAGGCACCCCGGCTACGTGATGCGCGCGCTCACGGGGGCGACGGCCGAGGAGTGGGTCGCGGCCCTCAGCGAAGCGCGCCGGCGGTCGCCGGAGGCGGCGGCCGAGGCCGCCCCGGCGCCCGCGTTTCCACGAGAAGCGCCAGCACCGGCGCTGTGACGGTCGTTTAAGCCGCGGCGAACTATCGGCGAGGCGCTTGGGCCGCCGGGAAAGGGACCGGGGCACGGGCCCGCGGCAGGCCTCCGCCTGGGCCTCCGGGCGACTCGCTTCAGCGTCGGCCGCAAGTATCCTGCGGCCCGGCTCAAAATC